TCATCGAGAAACTCTCTCTTATGTCAAAACTCATTCAATTATTGAACTAAAAATAATGTATTAAAGCCCTTATATTTTTCTTAGTACGTAACATAACAACACTCTAAAAATAGATGTTGATAAAATATAAATATATTAATTGATAATAAGCCCATCAATTCTTTAGGAGTGATTATGTTGATCAAAGAAAGTCAACAATATCTAACAATTCACCGGTAAATCTTTGATTTTTTTTTTCTAGATGATATGATATTAGTGCGAAACATTAATATTTTTTTTAAAAATAATTATGATATTATTATTAATAAAAACAGTAACTCCAGGCAACCATAACATTCCTTGATATCATTAGTTGAATTAATATTAACAATTTTAACAAACACTTAACACTTGCCGTTGGTACTGTTTGCAAGGTGTAGAAACACACCGATCGAGTTGAACAAAGTGTCTCTTAATTTGTTATAAACCTGACTTAACAGAGAGAAACAAGGAGTTTTAAGTGTTTGTTAAAATTGGGTGGTAATAATATATCATTAGTATATTTGTCGCATGCATGAATCCTGAACGTGTTAATTACACTTGTTGTCACCTTGCATGGCTTCTCTTAATTTTTAACTGATATAGACACTGAGCTTCTTTTCGTACTCATAGTTTCCCTTGACCGTAATTAGATTCTCACAAACGTTTGGTAGAACCTGGTAGAATAATTCAGTAATGTCTCGATGACGGTTTTATTTACTAGGAAGAGAGCATTCGCGAAGCCATTGAAGACGCGGGATTCGAAGCCACATTAATGAAAGATGATAACGAGACATCTGTTCAGGTATGCCGCATACGTATCCAAGGCATGACGTGCACGTCGTGTTCCTCCACCGTTGAATCCGCTCTACAATCAATCCAAGGAGTGCTGAAAGCCCAAGTGGCTCTCGCAACTGAGGAAGCAGAAGTTCACTACACTCCCAACGTTGTCACCTACAACCAAATCTTGGAAGCTGTAGAACACACGGGCTTCCAAGCCACACTTATAAGCACAAGTGAAGACATGAACAGAATAGACCTTCAAGTTGAGGGCATAAGAACAGGTCGTTCCATGAGGCTCATTGAAAACTCTCTTCAGGCTCTCCCTGGTGTCCAAGGTGTAGAAACACACCCTGAGTTGAACAAAGTGTCTCTTTCTTATAAACCAGACTTAACAGGCCCCAGAAATTTCATTAACGTGATTCAAGAAACCGGGTCGAGGCGTTTCAAGGCTAAGATTTTCCCTGAAGAAGGAGGTGGAAGGAATAATCATAGGAAGGAGGAAATCAAGCAGTACTACAGATCATTCTTGTGGAGTTTGGTTTTCACTATTCCTGTGTTTCTAACCTCTATGGTGTTTATGTATATCCCTGGAATTAAGCATGGGCTAGATAACAAAGTTGTGAACATGCTTACTATTGGGGAGGTTATAAGATGGGTGCTTGCCACCCCAGTGCAGTTCATTATAGGGAAGAGGTTTTACTCTGGTGCTTACAAAGCATTACGCCTTGGATCTCCCAACATGGATGTTTTGATTGCCTTGGGGACAAATGCAGCATATTTTTACTCGGTGTATTCTGTGCTGAGAGCTGCTACATCTCATAGTTTTGAGGGTACTGATTTCTTTGAGACTAGTGCTATGCTTATTTCGTTTATTTTGCTAGGGAAGTACCTTGAGGTTTTGGCCAAGGGGAAGACGTCCAATGCAATTGCCAAGCTCATGAACTTGACACCTGACACGGCTATATTGTTGAGCCTGGACAGTGAAGGAAATGTTGTTGGTGAGGAGGAAATTGATAGCAGGTTGATTCAGAAGAATGATGTGATTAAAATTATTCCTGGTGCGAAAGTGGCTTCGGATGGCTTCGTTATTTGGGGTCAGAGTCATGTGAATGAGAGCATGATAACAGGTGAGGCACGTCCTGTGGCTAAGAGGAAAGGAGACACTGTTATTGGAGGAACTTTGAATGAGAATGGAGTGTTGCATGTTAAGGCTACATGGGTTGGATCAGAGAGTGCTCTTTCTCAGATTGTTCGACTTGTTGAGTCAGCACAGTTGGCCAAGGCTCCAGTGCAGAAGTTTGCTGACCGTATTTCCAAATACTTTGTGCCTCTGGTAATTATATTATATATGATATGATTTTTTTTAAAATTATTTGTTTATTTGATTCATGCCTTCTGGACTTCATTCTGTTTATCTAGTACTTACTTTAAAGGGGTTTCAATTCTTTGTGCAGGTTATTTTAATCTCATTTTCAACTTGGCTTGCATGGTTTTTAGCTGGAAGATTTCATGCTTACCCCAAGTCTTGGATACCATCTTCCATGGATAGCTTTGAGCTTGCTTTGCAGTTTGGGATTTCTGTCATGGTCATAGCCTGTCCGTGTGCTTTAGGTTTAGCAACACCAACTGCTGTTATGGTTGGCACCGGAGTAGGTGCATCTCAGGGAATACTTATCAAAGGAGGTCAAGCATTAGAAAATGCACATAAGGTTAGCATTTGATATTAAACTATAGGTCCTTAAATTCAGGATCTTCTTTGTAAATGTTGGTGAAAGTAACATGAACTAGCTTATATTCTGACCCTTTTATTAGCATAGGAACAACTTAACATATTCACACGGGGTTGGACTTTGTGATCATGTTAGAAAAGTTTAGGCATATATACAAAACATTTGAATCTATTTATGGTTTGTGTTGCAGGTGAACTGCATTGTGTTTGACAAGACAGGTACTCTCACTATCGGGAAGCCTGTGGTAGTAAATACAAAATTGTTGACAAATATGGTACTGCGGGAATTCTATGAACTTGTGGCTGCAACTGAGGTAGGCCTTCTATTAATTTTAGAGTTTCACATGCTGGTTCATGAATAAATGCGAATAATTTTACGATGTATAATTGGTTGTTATGTCAGGTGAATAGTGAGCATCCACTGGCTAAGGCTATTGTTGAATATGCCAAAAAACTGAGAGATGAAGAGAACCCCATTTGGCCAGAGGCACGGGATTTTGTGTCCATTGCTGGACACGGAGTTAAGGCCATGGTTAGAAACAAGGAAATACTTGTGGGTAACAAGACCTTGTTGGCCGACCACGATGTTGCACTTCCTATTGATGCTGAAGAGATGCTTGCGGAAGCGGAAGCAATGGCTCAAACTGGAATTATAGTGTCTATAAATAGGGAAGTAGTTGGGGTTTTAGCAGTGTCTGATCCATTGAAACCAGCGGCTCAAGAAGTCATTTCCATTCTCAAGTCTATGAAAATTAGGAGCATCATGGTGACTGGGGACAACTGGGGTACTGCCAAATCTATAGCAAGGGAAGTTGGAATTGAAACTGTTATTGCTGAGGCCAAACCAGAGCAGAAGGCAGAGCAAGTGAAGGACTTGCAGGTACATCATTTAGAATAATACTTTAAGCTTAAACACATGAATGCACGTGTACGACTATCTTATGCTCTAATTCAACTTTTAATTTAAAGGAAAAGAAATAACCGTTGTGGCTCAATCTTGGCCATTGAATGAAGATTGGACGGCATATTTTCTTTTACTACTTCACCAAATTCAAATCAATCATCATGAATCCTAAGACTGCATAAACCAATAATTCCAAAGTTTAGGCTAAAGACACATGAATAGTTTGGACAAAATTTAGATATGGTATCACTACCAATTGTTATTCTTCTATCATAATTGAATTTTAATTTTAATATTACACATTGACATTTAATGGAATCATTACGCTTAATAGCAAGATAAAACTTAAATTTTGATTGAATATCAGCACCAACAAGTACTACATGTAAGTTTTGTCCGAATAGTTTTAGAGTTTAATTTATATACATTCTTTTCATAAAACTTATTTACACAAACATCTAATAAGATTGCACTATTTTACCAAGTCTTCTATTCATTAACACAATCTGGCAATAAGCTAAAGTCATATTAGATGTCTAAATTTAAATTGAAAGTGTGTACAAATTAGACTCATAGTTTTATACATCTATAAAATATATTACCCGTGGTTAACATATCAAGTTCCCTCTTCTTGTTTAGGCATCAGGGTACAAGGTGGCAATGGTGGGGGATGGTATCAATGATTCACCAGCACTTGTGGCAGCAGATGTAGGAATGGCAATTGGTGCAGGTACAGACATTGCCATTGAGGCTGCTGATATTGTCCTGATGAAGAGCAACTTGGAGGATGTCATAACTGCCATTGATCTGTCCAGAAAGACGTTTTCCCGTATCCGCCTCAACTACATATGGGCTTTGGGCTATAATCTTTTTGGCATTCCAATTGCTGCTGGAGCTCTTTTTCCTTCAACAGGATTCCGGTTGCCACCATGGGTTGCAGGGGCTGCCATGGCTGCCTCTTCTGTCAGTGTTGTCTGCTGTTCTCTATTGTTGAAATATTATAGGAGACCCAAGAAACTGGACAGCCTCGAGATAAGGGGCATAAGCATTGAGTGATGTGAAATATGGTGCAGAAGAATTCAGATTCAGGGTCTTATGTTTGCTATTATGTGTTGCTAGTAGGTGGTGACTTGTTTAGTTGTCTGTTACTAGAAATCAATAACCTTGAACAGTTGTCACTTGTCAGATGACCATGAAGTTGTAAATTTGGCTTGCATGATGATGTTTTGCATGTAAAAAATTGTCTCTTATGTTGGAATAATGTACAAAATGAAAATCCTTCAAGCAATTGCACCCGAAAAATTTACAGGAATTAACATGGTGTTTTTCAACACGTAATGACAATATAATGTAGATACGTATGATAGTAGTGATAATTTTAGAGGATTAAAAACACGTTAAGGACTAAAACCACGTTAAGTCCTTTAGATACTAACACGACGCAAGAATTTTATGTGTATAACTGTAAATATGTATCAGTTTCTGGTGTTCCTCAATATCACGTCCCGATCTCAACTGCCACATGCAAAAGGACATATCATTTCAAAAGTTTAGACTGATTAAATGTTCGACACAAGAAAATTAAGTAGTTTTATTTCTTTATTTTAAATGAGAATTATAGACCACCAAGTACAAAGAACCAACACTATTTACAAAATGAACACACGCAATTATTGGCTCATATGGTTAAGAGTGGAGATAGAAAGAGAATACGCAGTTGCCATGTTACAACCACAATACTTCACTGGCAAAATCTACTTATGGGTGTGCGAATTACTCAACACTTGAAAATGATGATCTAGAATTCATGTCTTTATAGGAAGATGTACAGAGCAATTCAAGCCAACAAAGACCAGCCAGAAACCCAAGGCTCAAAGCTGTTGATTAAGTTGTCAGTCTTGCCACAAAGTTGAAGTCATGGCTTTCACATCTTTGAATGGCCATCCATCTTGTTGCTAGGCTCATTCTCAGTTTCAGCTGCCCTTGAACGCTGCTGTTCAAATTTCTTTTTAGCTCTATAAAGGATATTATGCACTTCTTCAAAGTATGGGTTTGTTGCAGTTCTTGTATCCTCAATCCACTGAAGAACTTTCTTGTATGGAGATAATATCCTACTTCGATCCTTCTCGTCCAAAACCTAAGTTTATTCGCAGTTTAATTTTACAAATTCATGTAAAAAGCAATTATACCACCAATCACCATTCTAACTCAACGGAAGATTTCAAGATATTGAGCCAATTTAGTCGGATGCGGCATCAATAATTATTAAGTCACATTTAGTTACCTCAAGTTGCATGAGTTCACAAACCATGCTGAGATCTGCTATAGATGGCTGAGAGCCACCAAGCAGGAAGCATCCCTCTCCATTGAGCCATATATACTCTAGTTTTGTTAAAGAAGACAATAGAACTTTCTCTGCTTCAGAAGCTGCTTTTGGATTAAGTGGACGGCCAGTTGCAGGTCCTAGTACAGTATCTAGAACATAGTTCACTGCAAAAAGGTGGTGTGCTTCTGCCGGTTAGTCATAGTTTACAATAGACGAGCTCGTTCTATAAACAATACGAGAAAACAAAGATGGTCTCGGCTAAAACATATGATTTAACATATGACTAGCAGCAATGGTAAAATATATTCTTTTAACAGATGTTGCTTTTAAAGTAAAATCGGTAGAATATGAATAATTGAATATATTCATAGTTGCATAACAGCCAGATACTAATTTAGTTTACTTAATACAAGTGAGCAAATATTTAATCCCAGTTTGATCCATATAAAAAATTATTAAAGATATTGCCAATTTCGAGTTTCCACTCAAGTATACATACAACAAACTACAATGCTCATGCTAACTACCAAGTATGCAGAAGACAACGACTGTATGATTGAATTTTCTTTTGGTAGTTAGTAGTCAGTAGCTATATGTTACAAGCTTAAGTAGTGCACAAGTTTCTATAGAACAAACTCAACTGTTCACAGCAAATCACATTACTCAAAGGAGTTGAATGTATGGATATAGTCGTGTACAGCACCTGCTCCATGTCGTAAATTAGAGTGATGCCAATCCAGTACTAAGTTAATTTTGGCTCTCCTGAAAATATCACTTGGATACCTGATACATCAAAAGGGAAAGCTGTCGTAATTAAACTAAATAATTATAAATTCTGGATGCAAAATCCACAAATGAATGGCAACTAGGAATTTTAGATTGTGGAAAATGCATTTCCAAGCAGCATAAAATTGGATTTAGAATCAATGCATTACGCCTTTTTTTTTTTAAGTTATTTATTTTATTCCATTTCATCCTAATATGTATTTTCAAATAAACATCCAAAAGTCAGGAACAGGAGCATTAGAAATTGACAATAAACCTTGGTCATGATTAAGGCCCTTCTAAATCATGTTCAACTAATGTGTCGTGAAACAGCCCTACTCTGATATTTATACAACAAGTATTTTTTTTAAAAAGACCAACTAGTTCAGGATTTCAGAAGCAAAAGAACTAAAAAAGAGGTTCTACTAACCAATGGTCAGCAATTCCAGGAAAAGCAGAAGCTAAATAGACAAGGATTGCATGGCTGCAAAAAGAAAACGAGGTTTATTTAGAACGTATAATAAAATCAAAGGGCAAAAATATTCCGATTCAGGGAAATTCAAAATTTAAACATCACAGGATTTACAGAAACTAGAAAAGTATACAGGATTTACAGAGATTAAAAAAGTACAGGTGACAGAACAGAAGAGATATGATTTAAAAGCAAAAACATCATTTAATCATTCTACCCCATTTACATAAGCATTAAAAAGAAGGATAAACTCATTAATCCACCAGAAATTGCACAGTGCACAACATGGTTTGTTCACTTTCCTAAGCCATGATGCACATAGCCCACAGTAAAGCACAAAACGGACATTCACAGTGATCGTTTCTAATACCACTCTACATGTATAAATCATCCTATGGCAATAATTATCATTAGAAAAAAAAAAAAAAGCTTTGATACAATCTTAAAATATGAGTTTGAAACTGACTTGTAAATTAATAATTGTCTTTCATTTACATAAAGTACTTTAGTCATATTATTAGTGGATGCGGGTCTCCAACACTTTCCTCTCCGGTGACAAGTGCAATATAGGTGGGTTTAACCCTCATCAATAATTACCTCTCGGAGAGATTGAAGCTTCCATGAACAATTGCCGGAACTTTCTGCAAAGGGTTTACTTCTGCAATAAAAGTACATTTTAGGTCAACAGCAGAACAGACCACAAAATTTTCACCAGTCACTATTCTATGCAAAACAAACGCACCAGATTTTGGGAACTATTCATACTCCTTGAAATGAACTTAAACGGATACTAACTATTAAATTTTCCATCAACTACATAGTAAATGGCATGACAAAACACTACAATCTATAATTATGTTACTTTGTCAAGTGAATACTTAGAAGAAGGTGCATATGCTTGTTTTTCATCCTAAACTAGATGAATAGATAGATACCTCTGAATTCAGGAGAGAGGTGGTGGCGTTTGGAAATGTCTACTTTGATCTCCTCAAAGTCAATTCCGTTAAACCTTTTTACCACACAGAAGAAGCAGAGTTTGGTTCATCATCGTTATGGTTTATGAGAAGCATGAAGAAATAAGTACCTGCAGAATATGAGAACTGCACGAGAAGGCTGGGACATTCGATCAGCATACACCTTCAGTTTCCCCATCATCGCTTACAAAGCACCACTTTGACTTTAGTATACTTATCTACCTATATCGGTTGCTGTGCCTTACCAAAATAGTATAACAATCACTTTATATATATATATATATATATATTTTGGTGAACTTATATATATACATACGCGCATTTTGATTTATTTATTAATAAAATTAATTAACTTAGAATTTAAATGTTAGGTAGAGTTTAAGACACGGAATTAAAATCATATATATATATATATATATATATCCTTAAACTAATATATCTATGGAATAGCAATAAGGAACTTGCCTTTTTTCCCTCAGGAATAAAAACAAGACTCACCGTGTGTTGGACAGGTTTTTCCATTTTCCATGCATAGACGCTAAAATGAAAAGGTAAGCATACGTTACCAATGCAGCTCAATTCTATTACTAACGACTAATTACTGGATAGTCCTCATCACGTGGCCGTTAATCATATAATCAAATGTAATGTAATCATTATTTTTTTTAAATTAAAAAACTTAAATATATGTTATCATATAATAGTTAGTTAGAATTATAGACACGGTAGTCCTAGATAACTTAAAATTTTCATTACTAACTTGTTAATGTGTCTTTTGGATTAATAGGAACATGAATAAACATGTGCACTCCATGAATATGAAAAAAAAAATCTAAAACTAATTTATGTATATAAATTAATTTAAGTTTATGAAAAAAATTATTTGATTTTTTTTTTTTGCTCAAAGTACTTACCGCAAAATTTTCCGATGAAACCCTAATTGGGTAGAAAATTTGCAATTGATACAGAACAGTCAAGGGGAAAAACGTTCATTTAGTTTCGGATTTGTGGCGAGGGATTTAACCGGTGAAAACACAGCATTGAAAGCTGCTTGTCCGAAATTTGTATATAGTATCGATAATCTTTTCAGTTTAATTTTCATAATCCAATCAAAAATTATTTCAAGTGTAACTTTTAAAATAAGTATTATAAAAATTAAAAAATTTAACTTGACAACTTGTGTATTCTAAATTAATTTATGTTCTATTGCACTACGCAAGCATTTTTTTAAATTCAAGCAAAATATGTAAAAATATAAATTAAGACATTTATTATCCAAAAAATTCATAATTAGTTCAAGGAAATCAAAAAATTACATTTATAGAAAAATATTTATACCTATAAATAATATATGCATAATTAAGCCAAAATGATTTAAATATAAAATTTAAAAGGAGATAAATTAAGAAAACTAAGAAATTTTATCAATGAAAAATTTATATAAAAAAATTTAAAAATATAATTACTCTTTCGAAAGTGAACTCTAATATGTTTTTTTTTTATATAACCATGATATATTTGGTACAAAATATTTACTAATTTTATTAATAACTAATTTTTGTTAAAAATTAGACTAACTATTTTTAGTAAATTTTTTCTTTCTAATCGTGTTTTCCATCACAAAATTTAAACGGGGAAGGTTTTGTTTAAAAGGATTGAGTTCAATAAAGTAAACTCTAATTTAATATACTAAGTTGGATTTATTTCAATCACATTTTGGGTGGGAGGTAGAAGGAAGCGTTCCCACGTCATAGGGTAATGCACACGAAATTATAATATTAACAATTCAATAGCACTATTCTTTTCTTCTTTTCTTTAAGAATTCAAATAGCACTATAATACAGCAATTATCCGACTCCTCAAAAATATTTTGGAAGGCAAATTTATAGGACAGTCTGACTAACATACATGACGTGAAGTCTGCACTTAGGAGGACACGATTGTATCTTCAAATGGCAAATCACATTTATTACCTGACCAACTTAGATTAAGGGGTCTCAGTACAGACAAAAACTTCATCTTTGATGTTTCAAGCCTGATAATTGTAACCAACATATATATATCACATAATGTTGTTACAGGCATGGTTGTTTGGTCACATCTTTGAAGATAGCGGGGTTCTAGACTTCTGCTCTGAAAGCTTGGTTTTGAGCTTATAGAGGACATTGTGAACTTCATCAAAATGAGGCCTTGTTGCATTTCTTGTGCTCTCAATCCACTGCTGAACTTTCTTGTGCGGGCCCAAAATACGATCACGGTCCTTCCCATCTAAAAGCTGCAACCAGAAAAACAAGTCACTATCGCGATTTCCAATGAGGAGAGGATCAGCATTCTGTCCAGCATGTCACATTTCTAGGCAAACAGTTTTCAATCATACAACACAAACTGAACCAGAAAGCTGTCTACAATTTATTTTCTTAAAACTCGCAAGAAAAAAAAAACTAATGAAAAAATTAAACCATCCGCGTTCCCACAAGTCATGAAATAATTAACGATAGTTGTTATGTTAGATGAACTTCTCCATTTACCTCTAACTGCATAATTTCACAAACCAGACTGAGATCTGCTATGGATGGTCGCAAACCACCAAGCAAGTACTGTCCGTCCCCCTTAAGCCAAATGTTCTCTATTGTTGACAAAGATGAAACCAGAATTTTCTCAGCTTCAGCAGCTGCTTGTTGGTTTTGTGGTAGGCCCAATAGTGGAGCTAGAACAGTATTTAAAACAAATGTGGCTGGAACAAAATCAAGAAGATTATGTCATTAAAAGAGAGGAAGCGCCAAAAATTTTGCATGCAAAAGAAAAACAGTATCTTCACACATGGTCAAAGGAAATTAATTAGCGGCAATTAATGCAAAGTGTTAGGCCCGATAGTCCACCTGTTGCTCCACCATAGTATGATATTGTCCGTTTTGGGCTAGGCCCGCACGGTTTTATTTTTGAGCTCCTTCCCAAAAGGCCTCATACTATATGGAATGGTGGACACCCTTATAAACTAGCCAATGTTCCTTCATTTTACAGATGTGGGACTTGGGATGAATCCCAACAAACCTCCCCTCAGACCAAGGACCACATGTCTGGTGACCTCCTCCCCTCAAGCGATAATCCGTCACCATCTTGTACCGCCGTTAACTCTACGGGACACGCCGCCTGAACACCACAATATCAGAGCCTGCGTTGTTTACCCATAACACAAGATTCACAGAAATTCAATTTCCCTGTCACCGCTCCACCTAACAGTCCTTGTTTACTCAACACTGCAAGTCCACGCTCACTCATATGTCCCAACCTACAATGCCATAATTTTGTGTTATCAACATGTTGCTCTAAGGAATGAGATATAGACACCGTTCCCTGAAAGGAATTGCCAAGCATAACATAAATTCCATGTTGTAACTTTCCTTTCATAACAACCAGAGCACCTTTAGAAACTGTAATCTGTCCATCATTTCCTGAAAAACTGTATCCTTGTTTATCTAAGGTACCAATAGAAATCAGGTTCTTCCGTAAGCCAGGAACATACCAAGCATCAAATGTTCTGACCATGCCATCATACATTTTTATCTGTACAGCACCACTACCTTTTACTCCAAGCTCTTCATCATCACCTAACTTTACACTACCATTCCATTCTTTAAATGAATTGAACAGCTTCCTGTTAAAAGTCATGTGATAAGAAGCTCCGGTATCCATGACCCATGTATCAGCAAAACTAGTAGTACTAACAGTCAAAACATCTCCGCCATCTCCTTCATCTGAACTCTCACCAGAGACAGTTGCACTAGAACGAACAACAGCTGCACTGGCGTTACTATTTCTATCTTTCTTCGGTTGTGGACAATTCTTCCTTATGAGCCCCACCTCTTTGCATTTGTAACATCTCACTTTCTTTGACTTTGAAAGTGAATTACTGCGTGTATGACCCTTGCTACTATTTTCTCTCTCCATGCTTCTGCCTCTGCTAACTTTCAGACCTACATCATCCACATTAGAACTAGAGACTACTCTTCTCTTCAATTCTTTAGATTGTAAGTTGTCCTTCACATTGTTGAGAGTAATACTATCCCTGCCAACAACATAGTATCAATAAAATTCTCATATGATTTTGGCAGAGAGCATAACAAAATAATAGCTAGATCCTCATCATCAACTTTAACTCCAATACACTGTAGGTCCAAGATAATTCGGTTAAAATTATCAAGATGATCTCTCACAGACATATTCTCAGACATCTGCAAGGTATAGAGACGTTGCTTCTGATACAACCGATTGGTTAGGGATTTCTTCTGGAATTTATCTTCCAACATCTTCCACATCCCTGCAGTCGTTGTCTCTTCACCTACCTCTCGCAGAACCTCATCAGTCAAACTCAAGAGAATCAAA